ATCTCCCACATCAAGACATCACGAAGCCTCCACATCATGTGCCACATCCCAGTCTTCTGCTGGATCACTGCTACAGTTCTGGAGGAGCTGCTGAAGACCAGAGAGGGAGGAGATCTGCCCAAGACCCTGACTGAGATGTACATCCACTTCCTGGTGGTTCAGACCAAAGTGAAGAAGGTCAAATATGATGGAGGAGATGAGACAGATCCACACTGGAGTCCAGAGAGCAGGAAGATGATTGAGTCTCTGGGAAAACTGGCTTTTGAGCAGCTGCAGAAAGGAAACCTGATCTTCTATGAATCAGACCTGACAGAGTGTGGCATCGATATCAGAGCAGCCTCAAAGTGTTCAGGAGTGTTCACACAGATCTTTAAAGAGGAGAGAGGGGTATACAAGGACAAGGTGTTCTGCTTCGTCCATCTGAGTGTTCAGGAGTTTCTGGCTGCTCTTCATGTCCATCAGACCTTCATCAACTCTGGTATCAACCTGATGGAAGAACAGAAAACATTTCTATTCTCGACAGTCTTTAATAACAACACTACACTTAAACATCTCCACCAGAGAGCTGTAGACGAGGCCTTACAGAGTCCAAATGGCCACCTGGACTTGTTCCTGCGCTTCCTCCTGGGTCTTTCACTGCAGACCAATCAGAATCTCCTACGAGGCCTGTTGACACAGACAGAAAGTAGCTCACAGACCAATCCAAAAACAGTCGAGTACATCAAGAAGAAGATCAAAAAGAATCTGTCTGCAGAGAGAAGCATCAATCTGTTCCACTGTCTGAATGAACTGAATGATCGTTCTCTAGTGGAGGAGATCCAACAGTCCCTGAGATCAGGAAGTCTCTCCACAGATAAACTGTCTCCTGCTCAGTGGTCAGCTCTGGTCTTCATCTTGCTGTCATCAGAAGAACATCTGGACGTGTTTGACCTGAAGAAATACTCTGCTTCAGAGAGAGCTCTTCTGAGGCTGCTGCCAGTGATCAAAGCCTCCAACAAAGCTCTGTACGTGGAATAATGAACCACTTTATGCTTGTTTCACTTTGTACATGACAAATGAAACTTTTTGTTTGTGTTCTTTGTTAATTCTTCCTCAGATTGAGCAGCTGTAACCTCTCAAAGAGAAGTTGTGAAGCTCTGTCCTCAGTTCTCAGCTCTCAGTCCTCTAGTCTGAGAGATCTGGACCTGAGTAACAACAACCTGCAGGATTCAGGAGTGAAGCTGCTTTCTGCTGGATTGATGAGTCCACACTGTGAACTGGAAACTCTCAGGTCAGTATTAAGAATGAGCGTATTACATAGAAAGGCATTTATGTGAGTAACTTTCATTTTCATCAAAACAGAACTCTTCTCATTAATCTGTTTTTGTTTTGTTACCAGTAAAACATGGTAAAACAAAATACATTTAACAATCTGAATAAACACTGTAGACCAGTTCAATGATGCACTTATCTATTGAAGCTGAATGTCAAACACAAACATGCACAGACAAATTTAAGTAACTATTACTCACAGCAAAGTGATGACACAATGCACAGCCAAATTATTCCTGATCAGTGTTGTCAAATTTGTACATTTCACTTTTCAGGCTGAGCAGCTGTAACCTGTCAGAGAGAAGCTGTGAAGCTCTGTCCTCAGTTCTCAGTTCAGAGTCCTCTAGTCTGAGAGATCTGGACCTGAGTAACAACAACCTGCAGGATTCAGGAGTGAAGTTACTTTCTGCTGGACTCACGAGTAAACACTGTGAACTGGAAACTCTCAGGTCAGAATACAGCTGTGTGTTTTCAAATCAATAGCAAGTGAGCAATACATTCTGCACTTCATGTAGTTTTATGTCAGTGAACACTTTCTTTTGTTAGATTTTTAGCATTTGAAACATAGCGACCTGAGGAAATCTTAAATATCTTACATATTAGTGTAAATGAAGGAACTGTGACTAAGAGCTATGTTTGGCAGGCACGGTGAAGACATTTGCTCTTAAACCTCATGCAAAGTTTTCTGTAGTGTGACACTTTATTGGTATTCCGGCATACGGGGGGCTTACTAACACAAAAGTGTGAGTCTCTGAAGGTAAGTCAGCCCACAACATTTGCAGAGTATAACATTTAATCCAGATGGTCAGAGGGTAGGAATGTAAATACAGAAGTGAATATTAGTTGGTTTACATATGGTTGCAAATCAATGACCAAAGGTGATGGAATCGAGAGTGGCACTCAGGGTTTCTCCAGATACTTCCTGCTCAGCGGAAACAGGATGTGCTATTGTGCTATCTTCTTCCTCAGCACAAAGCTAAACAAATAATTATTCCTGCTGCTCGTTAAGTAACTCATTTATGCTCAGTACCCATTTTATTAGGCTAAGTTTTCAGTTTGTGGTTGGATTTGGACCCAGATGCCAAACACTGAGAGTTGTGGCGGAAAAGGTGGATTTATTAAACAACCAATCTTTAAAGGGCAGCAGAAATGGCTGGTGGTGGCGTGGTGTGGAGCAGAAGTGGAATTAGTTGCTGACAGTGAAGCATTCTGGATTTACACAAGAGAGCACAAGGTCAGTGGAGTAGCAAACAAGACACACTAGTGTAGGATCAACCAGCCATAGTGACTTTAAGACAGAGAACAAGCTCTCATCCATTTTCAGTCACAGGAGACAATGGAGACAGGGTCCATCGTGATCAACAGAGCAGAGGCATTCAGGCACCACACTAGATATGCAACCTTAAAAGAAGAGACCTACCAGGTCTGGCAGGATGGTGAAATTTGTGTTATCAGGAGGAGGCCATGAGAAAAGTGATCGTAAGAGGATCCCCCAGCACACCTCCAGATGAAGACACCAACAACAATGTGGATTGGCCTAGTTCAGCCAAGTGACTGGCTCAAACCCCCAGTCTCTACCAGGCCTACAAAGGACCAAATGGCTGCCAGGAACACTATGACTGACTTCTGACCCTGCAGGAAGTGGTGGTCAAAATTTTGACAACAACATTAAAAGGATTTCACTCCCAGTGACAACGCCACAAGTAACACCAGACTCATCTCTCCATTATCTATACACCGCTTAAATACATGTACACAACAAAATGTCAAAAAGCATCGCAGTATTATAAAAAGCAAAGCAGGTTCTGGATCAGAAGTCACTCCACATTCTATACCATTCATTAGTCTTACCATATTTAAATTACTGTGTAGGTTTGGGGTAATAATTACAAGAGTTCGACAGATTCACTATTCATTCTTCAAAAAAGGGCAATAAGGATGATTCATAAGGTCGGCTATCTGGAACACACCAACTCCCTATTCTTACAGTCAAAATTACTAAAAGATCTAGTGGGATATCAAACAGCACAAATAATGTACAAAGCCAAAAATGAAACACTACCAGGAAATATTCTAAAACTCTTCAGCAGTCCAGAAGGGAGCTATAACTTAAGAAGAAAATACAACTTCAAAACTGGCAGTGCCCGTACCACCAGAAAAGGTTTCTGTGTCTCAGTATGTGGAGTAAGACTATGGAACAGTTTGAATGTGGAGTTGAAGCAATGTCCAAACATACACCAGTTTAAAATACAGTACAAGAACATGATCTTTACACAATACAAGGATGAAGAGGGGGCTTGACCTATTCCAGGTGTTTGCAGGAGTTAATGTTTATCTTTTTACTTATTGGTAACTATGAATTACTTATCGGTCTCATCCTATTTTCTTTAGAATGACTGTATATGTATGTTTGTGTGTGTGTGTGTATCTGTGAATGCGTATGTGTTTTGTATATATGTATGTGTATATGTATGTATGAATATGTATATATGTATATGTGTGTATGTATATATGTATATACATAAGAATTGGTAGTATCATAATTGTATATATTTTCATTGTATCTCATATGTATAAACAGAAATTCTATATCATAAATATATATGTAAGAAACTAGAAATCATCAATCCATATTTTATGGAAAAGGGGGTGGGATTAAATAAGTATTTACATACTTCTTCTCACTCCTTTTCGAAGTCCAGAATTGTGGAATATTTCTTTGTTACATGATTTCCTTTAAGATGTATGTGTATGGATTTGTACGTATATAAGTGTATATTTATACATATGAAATATTCATTCTTTGTTTACTTGGAACTTGTCTTTACATATTCGAAAGAAATATTTCAATCAATCAATCAATCAATCAATTAATCAATCAATCAATCAAATACTCGCTTGGATCGCGGCCGGGGCTGGAGCCTATCCCAGCCAACTTAGGGTGAAGGCAGGGGACACCCTGGACAGGTCACCAGTCTATCACAGGGCTACACTTAGAGACAGACANCTCTGAAGTTGTGTTGGTGGCACAAGAAGGACCAACAGTGTATTGGGCAGAGGGTCTTCATGTTTTGGCTTATCTGTGTACATTCTACAAATATCCTAAAAGTACATGATGTATACTTGTATATTGATGACTTTTTCTTAAGCTTTAAATGATCATTTTTGTGTTTCTATCAGGATCTATCACACAACTGTAGACTTCCCCATATACCAACCTAATGTCTTCGAAAACAGACATAGCTCTTCTGATGAAAGGTAAGGCTTTGATACTCAAACAGAGGAATTTCTTTCACAAACACAGAGATATTTATATTTAAAGCTGACATCATAATTTCACTGACTGAGCAGAAGGAGCTTCACTGATCTCACAAATGCTGGTTAGAGTTAAAACTGAAACATTTGTCTGTGTGAACAGGGTTTACTCTACACTGTAGGCTTTATGCACATGCCAACCTTCACATGAACACATTTGTTTTGTTCAGAAGTTTTATTTCCATACATACAAAGTACAACATAGAAAATACAATTAAAATCCTATTATCGTCATGGTTTTGTTGAGGTTTCTGACCCACATGCAGAATAACACTCAGGAGAAATGGAGTTAGAAAAATCAGGTTTATAGAGACTGGAAAAGTGCAAGGATGAGGTTAGACCAGGCTGGGACGTCGATGTGGTCTTGTAAACGGCTGGGGAGGGCAGGCTGTACGGCGGTCAATGTAGAGGACTGAGAGAAGCAGGAGCGTTACCAGTCGTGAGCAGATAATCCAGGGAGGAACAGAGAAAACTCAGGTTTGGCGCAGGTAGGTTGTGGAGAGGCACAAGCATGGAGTGGGTCCACTGCAAAAAAAAAACACATAGGTTAACACTCAGGCAATGAGTGACTGGCAACAGCTCCTCTTATCCACGGAGTGACGACCCTGATGAATTGCAGGTGTGTGGAAAAACACACCTGCAGGAAATGAGCCCAGCACAGCAGGAGTTCCTCAGGACGCCCTCTGGTGGAAACCTGCAGGAGAAAACCAACACAGCCCAGAAACCCCATTCCCTGACAATTATAATGCTTCTCCACAGACTACAACAGTAGCATTGAAGCAGTGCAATATTATAATAAATACAAAGTACAAAATACTGCTGTAAGTTTTGAATTAGTTTTTAAATTAAAAACTGTATTATAGAGGTTTCTTTTATGTTCTTGTTTTCTTCATTCAGTTTTCTCGTACAACAAACTGAAAAATACAAATAAAATCTTGAACTCACTTTAATTTAAATACTAAATGAAGTAAATGGACAAAGTAATTGATGCTACAGAAGATTCTATGCACATAAATGCACAAAACT